TGTAGGATTAAGCTATACAAAGCACTTAGCTAAGTGCTTAGTCACAGAATACACTCTAAATATTAGCCTTTATTATTTTTATAACTACTTCCTGAGCAGCATGATATACTAAAAAGAGCACAAGATTTTAAAAATGGAGTTTGGGATTCCAATCCCAATTCTACCATTTTCTAGCTGTGTAATCTCAAACAAGTCATTTGCCTTCTCTAATACTATTTTCTCAATAAAATGAAGACAATAATATCTTTAAAAATTGTTGTGACTGGGCTGGCCCGGTGGCGCACTGGAGAGTGCTCCGCTTGGGAGCGTGGCGGCGCTCCCACCGAGGGTTCGGATCCCATGTGGAGACCGGTTCCCACTCACTGGCTGAGCGTGGTCCGGGCGCAACACCGAAGGTTGCGATCCCGTTGCCGGTCAGTAAAAAAGACAAAAAGAAAAAAAAAAATTGTTGTGACTATTATGTGGGGAAATGGAAATGACACTCTTGTAAACTCTACAGTACTATAGCAATATTCTTGTTGAGTTGTTATACTTTGAAAAGCTGAAATACTTTATAAAATTCGTTTATATCTGTAGTTTTCTGATATTTCTTATTTTTCTGCTTGGTGTTCTTTATGATCATTAATCTTATCATTTGTTGTATTTAAGTGCACTCACCTTTTTAAAGCCTCTTTCACCTATTTTTCCATCTATTTTCAGTCCAGTGCTTCTTCAAATGACCTTTATAGTTATGGGATTTTTTTTCCTGATATATTTTGGATTTTCTGGATCTTGAAATGTTCTCTCTAAGAAGAGAAGTATCAACTTAAGTAGATAATTAACTCATGATAAAACCTATTTCTCTTAACTTTCTCCTTTTGTCCATCCTTGAAAGTGATTTATATTTTTGAAGATAATGGTGCATGCAGATGTGTAAAGTGTCCTTAATTTTCAAAGGACAACACAGTCTTCCTTACCCTAGGCTCTTCTTTTCTTATACTTAGCCTATTGAATGACTCCATTTTCTTTATAAACAAATTGATTTTAGTTTTGACATTATGAAAAAGCCATAAGAAGACACATTATTACTCTTCTCCCATTTTTAAGTTTTATAATGTATAAACCCATGTCTGATATTCAACTAGTCTAAAGTGTTGTAATCAAAAAACGAACTGTGGGGCCGGCCTGGTGGTGCACTGGATAGTGCGCCGCTTGGGAAGCGCGGCGGCGCTCCCGTCCGAGGGTTCGGATCCCACACACAGACCGGCTCCCGCTCACTGGCTGAGTGAGGCGCGGGTGCAACACCGAGGCTTGCAATCCCGTTGCCGGTCCCCGGTCCGGTACGGGGGCAACACTGAGGGTTGCGATCCGTTGCCGGACACGGAAAAAAGACAAAAA